AGAAATGATGTTTTTAGAGTCATGTCTTTATGTATCTGACAACTTGGATTTTTGATGATGAACTTTGAGAAAATTCAACATAAGTACGGTGAAATTTGTAGATAAAAATCTGAAATTTTGGTTCATTGTAGCTATTATTGAGCTCAACTGTGGGGCGCTGTTTCAGACCAATTGGTCCAGTAGTTCCTGACATATAACAAATTGTTTAAATTTCGTTTTTCTTCAATATCTCAAAAACTACTGCACTGATTTCCAATTTTTTTTTTTAATACTCGTCTCGATGGCCTCTATGTAAGTCAATCAGAATGTATAAAATCTTTAATACACAGTTCGGAGATATTGCCGTTTTTCATGAAAAATCTTGTACGCACGATAGCTTTTGAAAAAAAGGAGATAGCAAGTTGAAATTTAGAATGGTTCTAGGTGTTATAATACTAAAAGTTGATATTTTGGATGGGCACAATCGGCCGAGCGGTTCCTGAGATATGCAACCTTTTGTGTAAATATATTTCTTCAAATATCTCATGAACTACTTGACAAATTTCAATTGTTTTTTGAAAATACTCCTCTCGGCAACCACTATCTGGATCAATTAAAATATATATCTCCGTTCATACAAAGTTTCCGAGATATTCGCGTTTATCGTTTTTCAAATTATTTCATTCTTGTAAGCACGATAACTTGAGAAAAAATGGAGATAACAAATTGAAATTTGGTATGATTATCTCTTGCAATACTGAAGGTTGGTATTTTGGACAGGCGCAACCGCCCGAGCAGTTTCGAAGATATTTAACCTTTTATATAAATCTTTTTCATTAAAAGGTTGAATATTTTCCTGCAGACACCCGGTTGCATGTGGTTACGGCTGTATGCTTGTCACAAGGATAAAGAATTGCTACGTATCCGTTCGGAAGCTTACGACTAGTGGAATTGGTGAAAATAGAAAAACAAGAAAGAGACTAATGACGCAAAAAGTAACCTGCTTGTTTTAATTTTGCTTGGAAATGAAGTAGAATAGTCTGAAACTTAAAAACAAGTTGTTATATCTCAGCAACTACTGGACCGATTGGGCTGAAACAGCGCGTCAAAGTTGAGCTTGAGGATAATCGGACGAGGAAGAAATGTAGGAGATGAGGCGGAGGGATTTCTATTGTTTTCCTGCAGAAAACCAATCGCTGAACAAAAGAATGTTTCCCATTCGGATTCAAAATTCAGGTAATATTAGGGAGTATCTCCGGTTAAAAATTATTTTTGGAGCTAATCAAATTTATTTGTATCTGTTCCACGCATTGAATGGTTTCCAGATTGTTTTTTTTTTTTTTATGAATGAAAAAATATTAATCCATGCGAAAAAGTGGCAACATCATCGGTAGTTTTTTTTTTCACCAGGAGCTGGGGGCCTATTCTCGAAATATTTCCGTGCACGGAAGTGGCTTCGTAGACGAATTGCGTATAGGAATCATATAGGTGTTCCGTCAACGGAGTCGATTCCGCGCACGAAAATATTTCGAGAATAGGCCCCCGGGTACCACTGGCTCGAGGGAGCTCCAATCATAACGCTTCATCGCTCTCTCACGAGACGTTTAAATTGACCGCGCTACCCCCACCTGATCGGTACTCGGGACGTTACGTTGCTGCTGCTCGTTTGGGCTGCGTGCGCAGAAATTTCATTTTTCAGTACTTTTTTCGCTATTATTAATAATCAATGCTACTAGACGACAATTTTTTTCACTCAAAAAATCATTGATCACATGTTCTAAATGTGTTTGAAGTTTCATGACTTTGGCTGCATTTTTTCATTGGGTTTTGCAGTTTTTTTGGTGATTTCCATAAGATCACGAGTTAAATGGCCGTTTTTCAAAAATTCCTAATAAATTAACCATGCTCCCCAGCAGTCTGAAACTTTGCACACGCTGTTTACATTATTTAAAGAATACGTAAAAAAAAGAAAAAAATGGCTTTTTTTCTAACCCTCCGTGCTCGCCCGATTATCCTTAATCATAGAATGAGTCGAAATTTCAGATTTTTATCTACACATTTCACCGCATTTATGTTGATATCCATGAGGAGGATATGTTAAATGAAAAAATGGCTAGGAGCCGGATAGCTCGGTTGGGAGAGCACCCAATGCACAAGGAAAAGGTCCCGGATTCAAATCTTGGTCTGGACTATCCAATTTTTTTCAGTAAAAATTTTCGGGTTATTCATGTTGAGAATAATCCCGCTTCTTCTTCTACCTCATCCAAATCCCATCCAATCATTTCCTATAACGTTGCATAAATGTAGAACGCTACATAAATTTATTTCTCGTATGTCGGAAAAATCGAGGTTTCTTTTCTAAAAATTAATTACTAAAAACCCAAATTGTTTAGAGACAAGACTCTAAAAACAGTTCTTCGCGTTTCATAACATTCTAGACCATTTGCAATGAAAATTAGAACATCGAAAAATCGGTCATATACAAGGTTTCCATTCGGAAGCAATACTATGAATTAATCGAAGAATTAAAGGGCTAATAATTCCATAAAATCTCAAATTGTGTCATATTATAGGTATCAATGGAGGACTAACTTTATGCCCTATTTCAGCCCAATCGACACAACCATTTTGGAGACCGCGGCATTTGTTTCTAAATCATTTTTCGCAAATATCTGGAAATCTATCTCACCGATTTTAATCATTTTTCGTTTAAAATATTCACCTCAATAACCTCTATCTCAACTCATTAAAATATTCATATCCGTTCATCCACAGTTTTCCAGATATTACCATTATTCTCGTTTTCGCTCAAAATCCTTGTACGCACTCCAAGTTCTGAAAAAATCAGCATATTAACTTGAAATTTCGCATGAAGTTTCCGGATGGTTAGTTTCGGATATATTCAACTTTATAAGTTACTGTATTTCCTTCAATATTTCAAGAAGTAATCGACCGATTTCAATAATTTTTTTTAAACATTCATCTCGATGCCCTCCATGTCAAACAATTAAGATACACATTACACATGCTCCTCCAAAGTTTTCAAGATATTTTCATTCTTCTTTTGTTCACTCAAGATTTTTATCCGAACTTTAACTTTTGAAAGAATCGGGATACTAATTTGAAATTTCGCATGAAGTTTTCTCCCATCCTTGCGACGATTCGTTTTGGAAATGGGCTCAATGGGATCATAAGTTCCGGAGATATCCAACTTCGTATGTAAGTCTATCTCATTCAATATCTTAAAAACTACTCAATTGTTTTCATTCCGCCCATAAGAACTCATCCAACTACCAAAATGGAACCATTCGGAACCTGCCATCAATTTATTGTTGGCAAAAAAAGGTAAATCCACTCGTAAGTAGAAAACCTCCGGTCGCACACTCACTATCACATGCTTGCTGTCACCTGCATGTTTTGAGTTGCCACGGAATTTCTACAGATTTCACCTTTACATATTACAGAGGGACCCATCATAGTACAACTCAACACAATGAGTTCCTTTGTTCTTATTTTAAACGTGTACGTTGCGGGCCCGGGTCATGCTATTCTTGAAGTTAAAAATAGCGGTAGGAGGCAGCGGAAAATCACTCATAGCCGCACGAGTGAAACGTAGTCTAGAGCCCCGCACCTGAGGTGTCGTTTTTTTCAAATTATTAATTGAATGATATTTTTCAATAAGACTGGTTCACGTTCAGCGAAGGCTTAAGAGTAGCTAGTAACTGATCCAATCTTATTCATAAAAAATTGTAATCATAACATGCCAATCGACTAATGGGTCGGCGATGCAAAAAAATATTCCCATCATAACGAAATTCTCAATGAATTCAGACAACTTACTCGGACTCTAAATGAAGTATTGAAAATGAATAATGAAGGAATCAACTTCAACTTTGTGATCAAGGGGGGGGGGAGCATAACGCTAGGCATTGTGGCATGACTTCATCACAGTACGGGCAAAGAAAAAATACTTCCGGTCATAGAATAATTCTGAATTGATTCAGACAATTTATTTGGACCCTATATCATGTATGAAAAATCAATTGGAGCGGAATCCCCAATTGATCATCGATGAAGGACAATTGAAGGACAATCGATGCGCGGCCCCCAGGGACCCTTCGTCGCCCCTGCCGCGAAGCAATCTGCGCCGGTCTCCCGCCGCTAGTTTCAGCTTCATTGCTATTCCTATGTAATTGCTTCATATTTACGAAATTAATAACTTTAATGAATATACAACTCTACATGTAGGTCATCCCCTGTACGACAAAAAAAACTAATTATAAATTTATATATCCCTTTATTTGCTGGAAAAAATTATTCATTTTAACTAATAAGTGACACTTTCTTGTAGAATCCCAAGAAGTACTAGTCAAGAATACAATCCTCACCAGCTCTTAGTGTGACCCGGGACTCACGACGAGGAAGTTACTGATGAGGAGTCTCAACAAACCCATATCGAAAAATAGTTTTTCACACACCTGCACGGAAAGTTCGTACTTTCCTCCCGCTCTTCAAAGAGCAAAATACGAGATTTCCTTTGCAGGCGTGTAAAAAATAGCATGTGCACCTCGGGCGGGAAAACATGACTTTCCGCCCCTGATGCACAATATACTATTTTAATAATATTATTTACCGTAATACATATTTCATCCCTGTGATAACTTTTACCTGTAATATTATCGAACTATAATATGTAGGGGTATAAGCGTTTCTATAGGGAAAATCGGAAGATGGGATAGGAATTTCCCGAAAATCTTCCATAGACTTTGTCTGTAGGAAATCCTATTTTCTATAGGATGTCAAACCTCTCCGTAAGATTGTCTCGTAGGAATTTATATACGGAAATCTATAGAAAATCCTATAGGATTATACCACGAGAATCAGGTATCAAGAGAACGTCTGTCAGAAGCATTTGCAGTTTATAGAACAACACACACAAGCACACAGAGTCTCAATTGAATGGCATTGAGGTATTAAACGGATTAACACGCAAGGGATAAATTAATGAATATATTTCTCACGTGCATGGGATACTTTTTGATGCTGAGACAAGTTGGTGACACATATGCTCTCCTATTTTTATTTAACATTTTCGTAAAATTGATTGGATCAGCTTCTATCAGAATCCCTGTCCAATTGAGTTGTTTCTCTAAAACCCAAGTATTACTACGAGTCTCGCCATCATAAGCACCACATTCGATAAAAAATCCATTTGTCTGGAAAAAAAACGTTATCAAAAAATATAAGGAACCAATGAACATACATACATACATACTTTAACTACACGGTATAACAAAATTTGGACGTATTCGACCTTGAAAACGAAACCGACCCCATCTTATAGATATTTTAATGCTGATTTTAAATTTATTTCAGGAAATCTTTCTAGCTGGTCTAGTTTTCGAGAAACAAAATATTGAAATGCTAAAAAATGGCGAAAATGAACAATTTAAAAAATTTGTAAAAACATGAATTAGAACGTAGTTTTTCTCAAAAAATCACTATGAATTAATGAAAATGTGATTCGTTTAGTGGACTAGCGTATGGAGCGCGCTACGCGCGCCTTTACCCAGAGTATGGTTGTCTATGTTTCTTTAAGGTATGGTTCCTAGTAAATTCATGTCCGGTTCAATTTTATCTATTTGTTCTAAACTTTTTTACTTTTCATATTTGATTTACAAAAAAAAAAAATTAATTTAAAAATTGAAAAGAAACTAAAAAAACTTTTTTTTTAAATACAACATTATATATATATATATATATATATATATATATATATACATATGCACAGCGTACATATACGCCTCCATATACACTACATGTGGCTATCCTACTCGCCTCTTCTCTGAGAGGCCACTGCGTCAAATCGGAGGCGACTACGTCTGTTTGATGTAGCGGAGGCCAGTTGTAATTGCGTGCAAAATCTATATATATATATAATAAAAAAAGTTGATTAAAAAAAATTTTTATGTGTATTAAATTTTTTAATTAATAGATTTAATTAATTTTTAAATTTTTCAAAATTAATAATACATTATATATGGTATATATTATATATACTATATATATAATGTATTATATATAATGTATTATATATATGATATATTATATTTTTCAAAAATATTAATTTTTTTTCTCTTTTTTTATACGTGACAGCTAAGCTATGCCGCAAAAAACGGTGACAAAAAACGTTACATGCTTTTTTTTAAAGGGGATTCGATTTCATCCCAATTGGTTGCGTCAGAACGAGTGAAAAAAAAATCTGAAACAGTCCCAATTTCATGATTTTCTTGTGATATCAAATGATCGGAAGTTGGTTGCACACACTTTGGTGCACGTTAATTTCAAATCTATCTATACCCGTGTATGAACTTCGACTTGACTTAAGGATAATCGGGCGAGGAGGAGGATATTCAAAAAATGCAGCCAATTTTATGAAGATTTTTTTCCACATTACTGAATCCATTTAGATACGGTTTGCAAAATTTGAGAGACCCCACAAGCACAGCAACAACAAAAATGATTTTTAAAGTTGCTGCTTATACATGAAGTTAAAGGTAGCATCAATAACTCGTGCATTTCCTCTACATTATCGATCAGTCGGCAATCTGGAAAAAATACTGAAATTATTGATGACCCATTTAACCCGTCAGTAGGCGCGCTATGAGCATTTCCCTCACGCAATGCTAGTCAACCTATAAGACGCCTCTGCAGTGCGAGATACTAAAATTTAGTAACTAAATACAGCGCGCCTACTGACGGGTTAACCTTATGTATAAGCAGCAACTTTACAAATCAGTTTTGTTTTTGCCTTGCTTCTGTGGTTTCTCAAATTTTGCAAGCGGCGTCTAAATAGATTCAATAATGTGTGAAAAAATCTTCATAAAATTGGCTGCATTCCCACTCCACGCCCGATTATCCTTAAGGTGTTTCGGGCGAAAAAGGTAAATAATGGCATTCACCTGGAATTCATATGGAATGGTTATAATCACAATTGAATTGTCTATGAATTTTCATTGAATTTTTTCAGATTTCAGAGGTTTAATTACTGAAATAAAGTTGAAAAATAAAGAGATTAACGCACAAGGTTAACACATGTGTGAAGATAGACTTAAAATTGGCATGCATCAAACTGTGCGCAACCAACTTCCGATCATTTCATTTTACAAGAAAAATCATGAAATTTGGACCTTTTAGAGATTTTTTCACTCACTTTCATTCAACTAATTGGGATGAATCCAAATGCACTAAACAAATTACATTTTCATTAATTCATTGGATTTCTTCTGGAAAAAAACTACGTCCAAATTAATTTTTTTTTCAATTTTTTAAATCGACCTTTGATCCACTTTTCAACACTTCAACATTTTTTTTCATAAAAGCTAGGCGTGCTAGAAAGATTTTTCAAAAGAAATTTAAAATCAGCATCCAAACATCTATAAAATGGGCTCCGGTTCGTTTTTGTGGTCGACGACGTCCGAATTTTGTCGAACAGTGCACGGGGAGAAAAATTCAATAAAAATTACCAGAAAAATAACGTAAAAATTATATTTCGAAACGTAATCCGCAAGCGAAGTAAATTCAATAAAAAGTGTGAGTCGGAACTGAAATTGTACGAATCGCCACGTAAATTCTATGATTTGTTCCGTAAAAATTAACCACCCGCCTGATAACTCACCAGCTTCGTAGAAAATGTTGAACGTTCAAGAATTTTTGATTTTGGAGGTATAAATCGGAAAGTTTCTGTAAGATTTCAGCAAAGTTACGTGACAATTTCGTACTCTGTTCGGTGATTAACCTGAAAATTCACTGAACGTTTCAGATTTCTTCTCTTCCATTCCTATAAAAATTGCCGGAAAACGATTCCCCATTGGGGATTACGTGAATTGTTCCCCAATTTTTACTGAATATTTCTCTCCGTGCGTTTTTCCATAAGTTTCAAATACTTTATTGTTGAAGTAATCTCTGATTATTCGGGCCTGACCCATTGACGGATCTTTCTCGTGCGTCTCCCGATAACCGAAGTATGGAAAAGGTACAGTATTATTAATTTCCTTAGTTATCCAATGTCCTCGAAGAACATGTAATAAACGCTCATCGAACATATTAACATCCTCACTGTTGTACCATTGCTCAGCTCCAGTGTGATTGAACCACTTTCGCATAACTAGAAAATTAAACTTGTACAATCAGCTAATAATCCGGTACACATGCTGTTTCTACAACGTCACGTTACCATAACTGTAGGCTTCAGGCCACACATCATCGTGGTAAGTATCCCTGGGCGGCAATGGAGCACTTTTAATATTCTTTATCGCAATGATGATGAGAATAATTACCAATGTTATTCCCGCAATAATCCATTTCTGCCGCCAAATACACTTTGCACTTGCATTGAGTAATGCATACCCCTTCTGTAATGTTTTTATTCCAATTACTTTTTAGAGAATTCCATGCAAAAATTTGGATAAATAGGAAGCACTAACTGTTCTCATCGCCGGCATGTTTGATATTGAACTGTTGACACGTGTTCCCACCCACGTGGCTCCCCACTTTACACTTTAAACAGAGATAGAAACATGAATGTTACCAACAGCACTTGTTGGACTGTTTTTTTTTTTAAATGATACGATTAAATATTCTACGGTTCACTTGAGGAATAGACGAACATACAAATATAAATGACACCTTGACACCGCAAGTGTCTTTCAAAACCGATTCTACAGGTTACACTTTAAACACAGCATATTCGAGATGACGTAGCCGCAGTAGAAAAAAATTCCTCTTTTAGCACACCGAGTGAACACATGCGCACCCAGTTCTCAGCCATGCGTACGGAACATATATAGCCCGGCTCGTTTGACCTTGAATATCGGATAGATCCGTAGTTTAACAGAAGTAATTCGACGATAGAAAAAGACCACATAGCTCCTGGTCAAGGCTAAAGATTTTCAAGACTCGCCCTTATGACAAACAGAACAGGGATACAACGCTCCATTCTTGAGATTGCCTCGAATAAAAGTACACTGAGAAAAAAATTGTTTTTGTCAAATATCCATTTACTTGAGAGATGTATTTATTTTTTCAATACCGTATTCCTTCTGTCGATTCCCAGGCAATCCTCATTAGGTTTCAATTACATCAATTATAATGTTCTAGAAGATGATCATGTCAATTATGACCTTGAGTGAACTCCCTCAATAAGTATCAACATTAAAACATTAATCGACATTCTTCCCTCTAGAAAATAAGAAATTTAGCAAAAATGAGAAACATTAGAAGAGTTCATCGAATGTCATATATGTGCAGCATAATCATCCTCTAGAGCAACATGATTGTTATAATGGAAACCCAGTCAGGCTCGTCTAGTAATGACTCATTTGAAGAAATACGATTGTCAAAAAAATAAATACTTCTCTCAAGTAAATAAATATTTAGCAAAAATAATTTTTTTCCTAGTGTAGTAGTTTTCTCTTTATGTATCATATCGACACCATAATAACAGGCACACGTATCTACATAGGGAACTCAGCACCTACGCTTGTCTGTTATTTAACATGTCGATATAATGATGGACGAAAATAACCGATACTTGCGACAATCTTAAAAATAAACAAGTGGGAAATTGCTCTTGTATTGCATACAGTGTCGTTATTTTTGCTAATAAATTAGCAATATACTTCCGAATACTTATATTGCACATCATTTCCTTTTATCATGTATAATTCTTCTTCTTCTTCTGTTCAATGTGGTTATATCCTCTCACTCTAGAAGAGGCAAGCACCATATCATATATAATTCATTGGTTATTTCATTTCATTAAATTGAATAAGATTTCTTTTCAACTAATTTTGTCAACTTTTCAACGTAGTTGAATGTTATCATCACCATTATTCTTATCCTCCCTTTCATCTGTACAAACGATTGTCTTGTTTACGGTTTTATCTCTCCCCTCAGTCCTTCGATAAAATGTTAATAGAAAAATTGTATTTAGACATACGTGAATAAATGTGAAATATCACATTTGAAGAAACCATCAGAGAGCTCATTTTCAGGGAAATTCATGAAAAATTTGAAATTTTCAAAAATCATCATAAAAATTTAATCAACCAATATAGCTATCGTAATCATCTTTTAACTTCGACTTAATGTCATTAAAACAAACATTTTAAGCTGTGATTGAATTCATTTGAAGCATGATTTTCAAAGATAGCCCCGGAATTCTGATTTTTTTTAACACAAAATTTCTGCAAATTTTCAAATAAATCAGCATAACGAATGCTTTCATCTTCGAACTCGGTCAAAAGGACATTCAATCAATTCAGAAATTTTTTTTAGTTATCGTGAGACAACCGATTTTCGAAAAAAATCGAAAATTAAAAAAAATTGTCGATGAATTGAATTTTAATTAAGAAAAAGTTTGTTACATGCATACACACATACACACGTACAGACGAGGGCGAAAAATTTCAGTTTCGGACTTTTTGAATTCTACTGGGTCGATATAACACAAAAAATCCAAAACTTAAATTTGAACGATTACAAAGTTTCCATTCGGAAGCAAAAAATCTATAAATACCGTTCCAACTCACCAAATGTGTCAACAATAAAAGATAAATTCTATGAAAGCAAGATGCTAATAATCTTACAGTATATGCAGTTACGTACAGAGTACACGTCTTGGAACATTCGTTGCAAGCTATAAAACTTGTCCTTGATTAGTATCGGGTCAAGCAGGTGATTGATAGAGTATAACATGTCATGCGTAAGCGTGATTCCCAACAGCAAAGGAACATAAGATGGAATTTTTGTGATATCTTCGTATTTTGGTTAGTTAACATAGATCTGTCATACTTACAATTAGCAACAAGTGTCCATCAAACGGGTTCGTGTCCTGTATGCTTTAGGGAACTAGGATAAATTATCAGTAGTAATTAATCGAGATCTCTAATATGCTTGGGTTTTTCTCGATGTTAACGAACTGAAATTAGGTGAGAAAGAAAAATCAGAAATATTGCGTTTCCTTTGTTTTCATTGGAAATCAACAATTGACATGAATGGAAACCATAGAAATCTGTAACCTGGAAGTACTTTCATGAGGGAGAAGTTTTAGTTTAACGTATAACCGGGGCGTATTTTATTACTGATAAGAGAGTCAGGGTAATCAAATAAACAGAACAATAAGGGACAATTTTAACCACAATAATCTCTAATATATTCTCTGCGTTTCGAATTAGTGCAATTTGTCCACAATTCTTTTTAAATGTGATCTAGAGAGTGAGTAAGACCGGGCTATTTGTCGGACACGCAAAAGAGATGACTCTAAAATAATATGCAAAAGGAAAAAGGCTAGTCGTAGCTTGTTTGTTCCGTAAAAATTGACCACCTGTCTGATGACTCGTCGCTATGGGCACAATAAGTCGTGCCGTAATTTTTCCCCAACGATTGAGAAATTTTACGGAACGGAACATAGAAATAACTCACCAGCTTCATAAAAATTGTTGAACGTTCAAGAATTTTTTATTTTGGAGACATAATAAGTCGGAAGTTTCTGTAAGATTTTACTTCTTAAAAAAAATTACGTTACAATTTCGTACTTTGTTCGGTGATGAACTTGAAAATTCACTGAACGTTTCAGATTTCTTCTCTTCCATTCCTATAAAAATTGCCGGAAAACGATTCCCCATTGCGGATTTCGTGAATTGTTCCCTAATTTTTACTGAATATTTCTCTCCGTGTAACTATCCAGACGAGAAGCTATAACTAATACTCACAACACTGTCGAATTATATTGAAGAACACTGGTGGTCTGGTCAGGTCCTCCATGGGGATAATTAAATACTGCTGGAGTCTCCGTTCCTCCTCCGTGCTCCGGGGTCCGGCCAATCTCCGGACTAGAATGTCTGCTAACTCTAGGAAGCCTTTCACTCCAAAGGGGATATTTACTTACAGGGGTTCTTTATATTACTTCCTAATCTCTATCGCACAACCACGTGCTGACACCGCGGGACGATCCCGTCGAATGGTCTCTCTCGCGTTCGAGTCCCTTTCGGCACTTCCTCGGCTCCTTTCGGCCTTCTCGACCCTCTTCCTTAACTCTCGTCATCACTGGGAAACGTTTCTATGTGAAAAGGTGTGCACTATGAAATCCATGGGTCAAATTGGTTTTTTTCTGTTTTTTAGATCATAGAATTTAAATTTGTTTGTTGGTCAACGCTCAACTGATGTATTCAAAAGTTATTAACAATTACATTGTTCAAATGGGTATAATGAATGTAATCCCAAAAATTGGCAGAGTTGTGGCGATTCTGGTGAAGGGTCGTACGGCCTGATACACTGCAGCAAAATTTTTTCTTTTGTGTTTTTTCTCGAAACTGTTTTTTGACGTGGTAAACGTCGTATCTCAGACTCCATTCATCCGATTCGCTTCATCTCCAGATAGAGTATAGTTAATATAATTTTCTATCAAACCATCGGTTAGTTTTCCAATAGGTTTATCCATTTGTTAATAACAAATTCTTCAAGTCATTTTTTAAGATCGGAAATCGACTTTTTTCCTCTACAGTTTGTCATTTTCGGCAGTATTTACCATGGTCAGAAAAAAAAGGGTCAGGGCCTAAATGTCCACAATCTACATGAGCACACGCATTTTCTCCACAAGAGGGTAGTTCACCGCTTTGAAGCCCACACATAGCAATGTGCGCGGCAACTTTATCCACCTCCAGTTGTCCACATGAAAGTTGCCCTGGCCCAACCCCAAACTTTCGGATTAACAAAAGGCCCTGATTATGTTGAAAAGACAGAAAGAAAATCTAGATTCTCTCGGGAAAAAATCAACTGTGCTGGAGAAAAAGTTTTATGGCAAAATAACCGACAATTTATCCGTTGACAATTTTCCCACCGACAATTTCCCCCACATCCATTATTCCCGAGATATAAAATATCTACTCTCAAATAATTCAGTTGTTTCATTCAAATTTCATCCCATTCTGAAGCAATATTAATCCTTCGTTACTCGCGAGAAATTGCCCGACGTGGTTACCCCCATCGCGGCGCCGTGCCGTAATGTAAATCGGAGCGCGCCGTTGCCACAATTCATTCGGAAAGTGGACTCGCTGATCTCCCAGTATCCTCGGCAGCCACAAGTGTGGCAACGCCGTATGTAATATTCCCATAACCCGATCAGTTACATCACGACATGGTGCCGTATTTTTTATTCCCAGTTAGCATAGGAGTGAATTTTCTCCAATCAGGGGCTTTCGCCGTGGTTAGAAATGGCAAAATATGCCTTCAGATAAAATCAGTGAGGCATACAAATTTTTTCATATTTTTTAATGAGTTCTTTTTGGAAGCTATACTAAAAAATACCATTTCTGTACTGCTTCTCATGATTTCTCGTCTGGGAATTGGTATTACATACTTCCCAAACTCGAAAACTTGAAAATCACTACAGAAAAATATTGTTCCTGGGAGCCTATTCTCGAATTGAAATCGTACGTTCGACTTCAACAAGTCGCATGCGGCCCATAAGGCGTACCACGAGTCGCATGCGACCTATTGAAATCGAACGCACGATTTCAACTCGAGAATAGACTCCCTGGGCTGTTGCGATGNGCTATACTAAAAAATACCATTTCTGTACTGCTTCTCATGATTTCTCGTCTGGGAATTGGTATTACATACTTCCCAAACTCGAAAACTTGAAAATCACTACAGAAAAATATTGTTCCTGGGCTGTTGCGATGGGGGTTTTCTACTCGTGTGGCGTTGGCCTCCGAGCCGTAGGCGAGGACTGGCCAACCACACGAGTAAAAAAACCCCATCGCAACAGGCCGGAAAAATACTATTTCACCGGCGCCGTGCCGTGGACGCGAGTAATTAAGGGTTAAGCGCAAACACGAAAAATACGTAACTCAGATAATTGATAGATAACATTTAAGGATAAGCGGGCGAGGGGGAAATGTAGGAGGTGAGGCGGAAGGGTTTCTATTGTTTTCTTGCAGAAAAACAATCGCTGAGCAAAAAAATTTTTCCCATTCGGATTCAAAATTCAGGCAATATCCCTAATATCTCCGGTTAAAAATTATTTTTGGAGCGAATCAAATTTATTTGTATCTGTTCTACGCATTGAATGGTTTTCAGATTGTTTTTTTTTAATAAATGAAAAAATTAATCCATGCGAAAAAGTGGCAACATCGTCGGTAGTTTTCTTTTTCACTAGGAGCTGGTACCACTGGCTCGAGGAAGCTCCAATCACAACGCTTCATCGCTCTCTCTCAAGAGACGTTTAACGAAATCATTCATTTCGAATCTTTAAAATCATTCGAAGTCAATTGCACTCCCGAAGTCATGTCACGAGCCACTTGAAGTCATTGATTTCATTTTTTTCCGAAATCACCAAAGTCAAAGTCGAATTCACTGAAATCAACCCCGAAATCACGTGAAATCGACTGTATTTCGAAGTCATGGTGTCACTCAATCAGGGAGTGAGTAGCCCCTCGAACGCTTTGGTTTCATCTCGCGCTTACGCTTATTCGAGATTTTCAAGATATATCGAGATCGATTTCCTTTCTCGTTTTTACGATAGAACGATAGGATAACTCATATTTTACATATAATTGCAATGGTTCCGCCTCTTCAGAAAATCAATTGAACTCGATTCATAGAAGCACGCTGTTTCCATTAATTAATAAATATACATTATAATCATTCACCGACATTCAAATTAAAAGATAATTATAAATGATACTGAATTAAAATTTCAAACGTTCAAGGCATCCCATTTCGGCATGACGAACCCACAGACACTGGTACTGAGTGTTTAAATTACAGGTCTCAACACTCAGGTAAACAAATTTTGTGTGAGGTAATGTGGCTACCAGTGATAATACAATTGGGGAGACATTGTCAAATAGCGAGTTTGATTCGAATCGAAAAGAGAGGGGGTCATAGGGTAGCCTCGCTAGTTACTCCTTACCATCGGAAATTGTAAACACATGAACTATCGGATCATTTATCGACGGATATAATGTACCCAGGATAAATCCAATTGTCAATAATACAATTATCGCTGGGAAAATGTCTTCAATTTGTGTTTCTTAAGGGAATTTTGTCGCGGAAATTTTTTGGGGAAATTTTGTCAGGGAATCAAAAATTCCCGGTTTTATGACGCATTCGGTTGAATGTCGGTTTCATAAGGCACTTGAAAAATCAACTTCTGTAATGAAACGTCTTCAATTACTTCTATCTTTATAAATCCATGAGGAAAAAATAATTTAAGGTGTTTCATGCGAAAAAGGTAAATAATGACATTCATCTGGAATTCACATAGAATGTTTATCATGACAATTGATTTGTCTATGAATTTTCATAAAATTTTCGCACATTTTCTTTCCAAGTTATTAACGATTGAACTTTAATGCGGCATGGGGATGGGCAAAGTCCAGGTAGCTCGGAGCTACTGCAATAAAACCAGTTAGGAAGGGCTGTAAAGATTACATCCCTTCCAATTACCAAGGTCCCAGTACGATCATAGCGGGAGTAACGAGTGAGTGAAGTGACGAGTGCGGAAAGCGAAATTTCCTCAAAGCGCTCAACATTTTGTTCTTTTTAAAATTAATTTAATTTGTTACTTAAGAGAAAACTACTGAGTTCTATGAGTTCTAACAGTAAACTGAAATGATGTTAGAGGCTATCATACCCTAGGTGGTATGATAGTCGAATTAAAAATCACGAATAATCGATAAAAAAACAAACAAAAAAAAGGGATTAAATAATTCGAACACAGAATTGGATGGGAAATAGTATATTTCAGCACGTGTGGGGCAATTTCGTCTTTAACGTGTGTGGGGTTTACAGCATGAGCCGAAGGCGAGTGATGTAACCGCACACGTTAAGGACTAAATTTCCCCACAAGTACTGAATAAAATTTTATGTCACGAAGCCTGAAACCGGCTGAATTAGACACGAGACGCGAAGCGTCGAGTGTGTAATCCAGCCGGTTTCAGGCATGAGTGGCATAAAAGCCGTTACGGCATAAAAAACCCAGATTTATTGATTAGGATATAATAGATCGATTACAACTGCGAATGACACTTGTTTTACATACACATACACACACGCTACCACACTGCAATGTCTGTCCTAAGAACACTACGATGTGAACTGTCGGACGCAGCTATGGACATGTACACACACACACGCGTGTCGATAATGCGAAAGATAGGTTATGGAATCACACATTGTGTGATTCCGAGACGATATTCGTAATTAAATTACGAAGATATGAGGTGGCCGTTGCACCACCTCCGATACGTTTTTAGATGAAGTGGACGTTCGCCACTTCAAAAAAGATGTAGAGGAAGCGGCACGTTGCACCACTTCCAATACGATTGGCGTTGCCGTTCACTACACCGTTAATCTGAATTGATTTTTACAGATTTTGCGAAGTAACTGTTTTGGATGTTAGATTGACACTTTGAATTAATAATAACACTGATTTCACACGAAAGATCGATTGACAAACTTAAATGCTCGAATAGCGTCGGTTTTGACCGTTACACGTGGTGTAATAGACTAGGTTGGGTTAGCGTCGGTTGGTCGCTTCCCCGCGAGAAACTAGCGAGTCGAGAGGGGGAAAATTCGCAGCGGTGGCGTGGCGAACTAGATAAAAACTAGCATTCAGCGCGCGCGTAGATTTGAACGAGTTACGATGTAACAGTAAACAACTATGAAGTTGAGTCAGTCGGAGGGGGCCCCATAAAGGGTAACCCCCTTTCATACGCCCGGTACAAAGGGGCCTGTTCAACCTACACGGAGAGAAATATTCAATAAAAATTACGTATCTTTTCCGTAATTCCGGAGCGAAATGTGGTTATAGGAAATTTCACGGAACTCCCAGGCAGGAAACGCCAAGCTTCGACAATTAGTCCGAGCTTGGCCCCCGCACGGCTGACCGAGGCTTGGAAACCTAGCTTGGGCCAGTCTTGAGCCCGTAGTGAGAACAGTCTTCAGCCAATACCGGTTAT